ATAAATCATTGCCACTTCTACGTCTCCACACCCGACTCGGGCTGGTACAGCGAGTCGAGGGCGACCATCCAGGCGTGCATGTCCTTGTCGCTGGGCGCCTGGAGGAAGTACGAGTTGCTGCTGGTGTACACGCCAAACACGTGCTGGCGGCCGAGCATGCGCTCGATGTTGGCGTCGTGCTCGACGCGCACGCTGGCGACATGCACTGCCATCAGCTCGTCCGTCTCGGCGCTGCTGGCGTAGATGTAGAGGAACGGCCGGCGCAGCGCAAACCACCGCCGTGTCCACTGGTCCGTAAACGCCTCGACCGGCATCTCGAGCCAGCCGCGCTTGGTCGCATTGTCGCTGCGCGCCACCAGCGTCACCTGCGCAGTCAGCTTGGGCTTTTCCGCTTCGTCCACGCGCAAGGTCTCGATGCCCAGCCCGGTCGTGTCTTCACGCTCAAACATCCCCGCCAGCTGCCCGGCCCCGGACGGCGCACCATCGCAGTTCGACGACGGCTGTTCCGCAATCACGACCTGCATCTTGGCATCGCGCACCGCACGCTGCCACAGCGCGAGCGTGCGTTCCAGCAGCTCCACCTTGTCCGCCTCGGCGCCCGAGGGGGACATGCTGAGCGCGAGAGGCGGATGCGCACGCAGCAGCGCACGCACACCTTCCACCTCGGCACGACGCTCCTCGGCCCGCATGAGCCGCGCATGATCGTGCACCAGACTCGTCCCGCGCGCCTTCCATCCGCGCAGCGCCTCCTGCCCGCGCACGTACTTGTTGGCCGTATCCAGCCGCCACAGCTCCGCCGTCTTCTTGGTCATGGGCGGCACGAGCTTCACGCTAAAGATCGCGCTCGTCTTGGTGAGCGTCCTCGCGCCGCTGGTGGCGGACTCAATGAGGCTCATCAGCCTGCCTGGCGGCTTGGCGTCGCGGCTGTTGATCGACACGGCGACGTCCATCGAGAAGGCCACGGGCGCAGCGCAGCGCTCGATCTCGATCTCGAAGGCCAGGCGCGCCAGCACGCGATGTCCACTGGCGGTGGTGCGGTTGAGATGCAGGCTGTCGTGCACGCTGCTGTCCCACCACGCCCACAGGCCGAGCTCGCTGGTGCCGTTGGCGGGGAACTCGAGTGTCTGCTGCTTGGCCGGCACCTTGAGCTGCACCGTGTCCGACGCCTTGCCGCCATGCACGCGCCCGCGCGCATCCAGCAGCCGCACATCGCCCAGCTCGAGCTTGGTCACCTTGCTCCACAGCAGCTGCCGGCCCGAGTCGTGCGTGAGATGCAGGACCAGCTTGCGCTGCAGACCCTGGCGAAGGAAGAACGAGCCTGGATCGAGAGCCGACTGCGCGCGCACGGGCACGGGCATGTACTCGCCCGACGCGTCCAGCTCGCAGATCTGCACCGATGCTAGAATGTGGTGGCGCTCCTCGCCGCGCATCTCGTTCTCCGACAGCCGCTCCTTCATTGTGTTGGACATGGTCGCGCGGCGTCCCGTAGCGCCTCCACGGATCGATCCCGAGTCGCCGTTGCTGAACGAGTGCAGAGGCGCAAAGATACCGGCTCGGTCGTCGGTGCTCTCGCGCTCGCTGTCGTGCTGTTCAAGCGCAACGAGATACTGCGGCTTGAGCTTGGCATACAGTTCGATGGGCGCAAAGCCGGTGCGCAGCCACTGGATCGACTCGGCAGTGAGCACAAACGAGAGCGTCCTGCGCAGGCGCACCTCGGCCAAACTCTCTTCGCTCGCGAGATCGACGGGCACCGAGGTGTACGACTCGTCCTTGCCCAGCTCGTTGCCCGCGAACGAGCTGAGCTTGACCTGCAGATGCACGCCGGCAAACTCGTCGCGCGAGAGGCCCGAGACCGAGTCGACGAGCACCTGGAAGCCGAACTTCTGGCCCACAGGCAGGTCGGCCCCGCCGTTGCTGTGCGTCGACGACGGCGTGGGCGAGCTGGGCCCACGTGACGAAGCGCCACTGGGCGCCGCCAAGCTCGCCGCGGTAGCCAACGAGCTGCGGCCGGCGGCGGGCACAGGCGCGATGCTGACGAACTTGAGCGAAACGCTGCACGATCCGATCTGGCGGCCCATGTGGCGGTCGTGCAGCGGCAGCCTGTACTTGGTGGAGATCTGACGCGAAAGCGGGCTGAGCGGGACAAGCGTGCTGGCGACAAAGGCGTACGTCGGCGTCGGCGACTCGTAGAATGGATCGGACCAGTTGAAGTGCTGTGAGTACTCGGGCTTGTCCACAAACGTGTAGAGGTTGCGCATCTTCTGGAGGCGCTGCTCGAACTTGGGCATGGACCAGACGTAGCATGTCTGGTGGACGTAGTCGAGCACCTTGATGCCCATGCACGGCTTGGCGCACGCGGCGAGGTCCGGATCGGCCACGTCGTCGAACTCGGTGAGGCCGGCGATGGCCTCGACGCCCGACGTCGGTACGGCGAGAGGAAAGTCATCGACTACAGTGAACTGGTAGGTGGCGCGCTTGCCGAGCTCCTTGCTGATTACGTTGGCCTCCTTGACGAGCACGGCCTTGGACAAGGCATCCTCGGCCATGGAGACGGTGGTGTGGCCCTTCCACTTTGCGAGCACGCTACGCAACAGCGCCTTGTGCGCGTCGCTGTATTGGGTTGGACCGTCAGCGGGGCGCGGCGATGCGACTCTGAGCTTCTCCTCGTACTCGCGCACTTTTGCACGCAGCGACTCGGTCTCGCGATGACGCGCCGCTGCTGCTGCCTCGACGGACGGCGATGCGGTGGCGTTGAAGTACGGCGAGTCCTTCATGGGTGTGGCGGGGCCCAAGCGCATGGAGCCCATCTCGCTGCCGGCCTGGCTCCAAGGATCGATGCTGGTGTCGTCTGTCATGGCGCCGAGGGAGTAGGGGCGGACGACCGAGCTGGCCGACTCGCTGGCGTTGTCGTCGAACAGACTCGCCCTGCTCTCGGGTCTGCCGAGCGCGCCGCCCATCGACTTTTTGGAGCGAGCGCGCGAGATGTCCTCAAAGAGCTTCTCCAGGTCCTCCTCGTTGAGATTGTCAAAATTGACGTTCTGGCCGTTGAGCTTTGCGAGCGCATATTCCCTGCGAGCGTAGGTCCAATCGACGTCGCCGGACGCTGGTGAGTCGGGACGGGTGGCCGGAGTGTCGCCATCGAGCAGCGTCTCGTTCTGCGCCTCGCCAGTGGAGAGGGCGAGGGTGGAGCGGACGCGGTCCCGTGCCTTTCTGACTTCCTCTGGGTGGTTGAAGCGAAAGACGTGAAAATCGCCGAGGATGACGCGGTAACCGGATCGGAGGCGCTTTGGCTCTTGGGGAGCGAGACGCTTGCCGTTGACCATGGTCATGCTGTCGGGCATGGCGGTGACGGTGACGACGCCGTCGGTGTGGTCAAAGGTGCAGTGGTTTGCGAGGATCTTTGTGCCGCTGAGCTTGATGTGTACGTCTGCGCCGCTCTCGAGGTTGCCGACGAGCGTGTGGCCGGGCTTGATTTGGTAGATGAGGCACTCGGACATGAGCGGGTCCTCGTTGAGATTGACGAGGTGGGGCAGCTTCTTGGGTGTGTGTACGCCGACGTTGCCCTTGTCGACCGAGATGCCGAGCTCCTCGAGCGCCTTTTCGCGCTCCTTCTGGATGGCGTGCGTCTTTGCGAGCTTTTCCTCCCAGCTCTCGTTGAGGCTGCTCATGATCTTTTCGCTCTGCTCGAGCTGCTCCTGGAGTTCGGCCTTGGTGACGGTCTTGATCTCGCCGGACTTGGTCTGGTAGCGGACGACCTGCTTTTCGGGAGGTATTGACGGATCCCAGCTGCCCTCGCCCTCGATGCCGCCGCCGCCGGCGACGCGGGTGCGGAGCATCTCGAGTTCCTCCTTGAGCTCGCGGATGAGCTTGGCGTTGGGGTCTTCGTTGACAACGGCCTTGTTCTTGATCTTCTTGGCCTGGTCGGCGTAGCGGAGCGTGCTGAGCGTCTCCTCGTAGTCTGCGGGGGAGATGGCTGCGATCATGGCGGTCTTGGAGTTGCCGCCCAGACTGTCCTTGAGGAGCCAGGTCAAGACCGAGTCACGGTAGGGCACGAAGCTGTCGAGTGCCGCTGCCGCCTTTGACTTTTTGGCGCCAGGCTTTGCGGGTTCTGCGGAGCTGGCGATGGCGAGTGCGGCGATGACCTTGCCGAGGGTGGTGAGGGAGCGGTTGATGTTGGCGCCCTCCTTGAGACGTGCGCCGGTGGCGCCTGTGGAGTTGGCGCGCTCGGAGCCGGCGAGATCGACGAGCGAGATGCGCGAAACCTTTTCGGCCTCGAGGTTGGTGTCTGGATCGAAGCGTTTCTGGGTGAGTACGAGGGTGAAGACGGCGTGGGAGCGGGAGCTGGTCTCGTTCATGTTGGTGGCGGCGACGGTTCTTGCCTTGTTGCCTTCGTCCATGAGGTTTTCGATGTCGCGGAAGCTGCCGACGACGAGTTTGCTGAGGTCCTCGACGTAGGGGCCCAGGCTCGGGTGTTCGCGCACCTTGAGGTTGCCCTTGGTCTTTGGGTTGAGGAGGTCGCGCACCTTTTCGTTGTAGATTTCAATGTAGCTGACTTCGACGGTGATGCGGAGGTGCTGGTCGGACTCGGTCTTGTCGCGAATGTCGTCAAAGAGGCGCGAGCAGGTGAGCGGGATGAGGCCCTTTGCCTCCGCATATCCGACCATGGAGTGCGACTTGCCGGAGCCGGTCTGACCGTAGGCAAAGACGCAGGTGTTGAATCCGTTGAAGGCATGTTCGAGGAGCTCGACGCCGATGTACTGGAAGAGGGTGTCCTGCTCTGTGTTTTCGTCGTAGGCGCGGTCGAAGGAGAAGGGCATGGCCTTCTTCTTGGTGGCTTTGGCATTCTCTCTGCTGTCGCCCTCGGAGGGAGGTTGGAGAACGAGCTGGTTGCCGTCCTTGAATTCGATGAGGTTGGAAGCACCACGATTCCTCTCTCTCGAGTTCATGGGTCGACATCGGACGACGACCTTGATGTTGCCGGAGTCCGCCATGGTGCGCTTCTAGGCCGGATGGACGGCGGCAGCGGCAGCAGCAGCAGCGGCAGTGACAGCGAGTGATCGGATGGTGACGGGAGCGAGAGCGAGGGTGGTTGGCAACCAGTCGGCCGGGAGGATGATGCTGAGTCCAGATGGACGACGATGGGCGTCGGATGTGCCGGGGCAGCGAATCGCAGCGACCAAGGCGACTTCGGAAGTGGTCCGATGCGTTGCGGAGCGGAGCGGAGCGGCTGATCCGATCCAATCGATCTGGCTGCTGTGCGGTGGTGGCTCGAAAGCTGAGTTAGAGCTGCGATGCATGCATAAGGTCAGACGATGGCGCGGTGGACAAGCAGGCTGCTTGATGAGAAACCGTTGGATGGCGGAGCGGGGACGAGGAGCCGTTGCGCGGAGATGAAGTATGTGCGGGCGTTGCAGAAGTGCGGCGTCGGAAGCCAGGGTATAAAATGAGGGCAGTCCAGGGGATGCTTTTGGGTGAATCCTCGACTATGCTAGTGAACGTGCAAAGCGCGAAGCGACGGATCAAGAGGTATGGATGGAGTGGTGAGGGGATGACATCGAGTGTGAATGCGAACGGCGTCGGCAGCTGATCTCTCAGGGTCCCCCGGATGTCGGGATGCTCACGGCCAGCTGAGACTGCTGCTGAGCTCCTTCCACTTTGGCAGGTGGATCAAATCGACACGCACACACGCACGCACGCGCCCTTCCTGTCTTGGCCATGCATGCGACTGCGACTGCGACTGCGACTGCGACTGCGACTGCGACTGCGACTGCGACTGCGACTGCGACTGCGACTGCGACTGCGACTGCGACTGCGACTGCTCAGCCGCCGCTGTGTGTTGGATTGGGAAAGTGTTGCTTTTTCGCGCCTTGCTGCCTCTTTCAGCCGAGCCCAACCCAAAATCAAGCCGAGCGCGGTTTGAAAATCCGCCTCTTTCTCCGCTTCTCTGCCGCTCTCACCCTCACAAGGGGGCCCTCGACCCCAAAAGTAACACTTTCTCCCCTCGCCCTCGCCCTCGCCTGCGCCTTCGCCTTCGCCTTCGCCTTCTGGCTGGCGCTGCCATCACAGTCCCGATCAATCAAGAGACAAAAACGTCATATGAGCTATACGAGATCGCAAGTACAAATACAAAAATCTACACGGCGCTTAAGCACACACCCGACCGCGCCTTTACTTCTTGGTGGGCTTGGTCGGATCCTCGGCCATGGTCTTCATCCACTGTGCGCGCTGCCTATCCTCCATCTCGGCCTCAGCCTGCCCCTGCACGTCGCCCTCGCTACCCGCAAGCACGTCCTTGAGGCTCGACGTCGCACTGCCGCGCTTGAGCGGCTTGGGCTGCGTCGGCGCCGGGCTCCAGCCGATCAGAAAGATGAGCTGGAACGTCGCCGGCACGCCCTGCGGCTGCTCCGTCTCGCTGCCGCTCTGGCCGTGCATCGCCTCGTAGATCGCGGCGGCCGACAGCATCGTGTCGCGGCGCAGCTGGCCGCGCCGGTTGATCACCGCATTCGACTCGCCCATGTCGCGCAGGTCGTGCATCAGCTCGTACATGCTCGGATAGCCCACCTGCACCTCGTCCACGTCCACCGTCGGGATGGTGAAGCCGGCGCGCGACAGCAGCGACGCCATGTCGCGCGTGTCGGCCATCGGCGAGATGCGCGGCGAAATGCCGCCCTCGCGCTCCTGCTCCGCCAGCTGCAGACTCGTGCGCAGCTCGAACAGCGTGTCGCCTCCGCACAGCGCCGCGATCAGCACACCGTCCGGCTTGAGCGCACGCCGGATCTGGATCAGCACGCCCGGCAGATCGTTGGTCCAGTGCAGACCGCCGCTCACCACCACGCAGTCCAGGCTGCCCTCCTCGAACGGCAGCATCTCCTCGTCCAGCACGCGCCGCTCCACCTCGAATGGGAACTGCGCGTCCAGATGGCGGTCCCGGTTCAGTAGCGCCTCGCTCGTGTCGCACATGATGATCTTCTTGGTACCGCTCCCCTCCGCATCCAGGTAGTGGCGCAGCAGCCCCGGCCCCGCGCCCAGCTCGACAATCGTGCCAAAGTCGCGCTTGATGTCCTGCACACGCTCCGCCAGCGACTCGGCGATCGCGCGTCGCACGTAGTCCGTCTGGCGCGACGCCTCGCCGCGCGTCGACTCGGCGCCGAACGCATGCCCCTGCGCATCCGCCGTCACCGACGGTCGTACCGCAGCTCGGTCCTTCTGCGCCGTCTTGACTGCACGGTCAAAGATCGTGAATGGGCTATTGGGCTTGGGCGCTCCGGGCGCCGGGTTGGTCGTGCCCGCCGCCGTCGCGGCGCCTGCCATCGTCGACGCATGTCGCACCGAAGTCATCGCGCCACCTCGTTCGCTCGCCATGTGCAGCCGCGGCGAAGTCTGTCCAAACGTCAATCGGCCCTCGGACAGCGCGAGTGGCGCCGGGATCTGAGCCTCGAACGGCACCTCGCTCGGCGTCGCCGGCTCGTCAGCAGCAGCGGTGGCCGCACCCTCCTCCTTGAGCAGCGCCTGCGCGCGCAGGATGACCGCCGGTGGGAACGCGCGCGCCTCCATACGCTCCAGCAGCGCAGCAGCGCGCTCCGCATGACCGTGGCTCAGCTCGGCGCGCATCATGGCCTCGTACGTCGACGGCTCGCGCTGGACCGCTGCAAACAGCGCCGCCAGTCCGCTCCCGCGCGTGCTCGCCGGTGCATTCGCGACAAACGAGGCGTCGGCAGCAGTCGACTCTTGTGCACCAGCGCCGTGCGCACGCGGCGGGTGGTTACCCGCCGCCGCCACACCGGCCGCGGGCTCGTCCATGCTCTCGAACAGTGCCCGCGCCTCGTCGAGCCCTGCGTCGCCGTGCTCCATCGAGTATCCGCGGATGAGCAGGTTGGCGACGTAGGCGGTCATCTGGATGCCTGCGCGCTCCATCTTGTGCAGGTGCGCGCGGATCAGGTCGCTCCTGCCGTGCGCCACAAACACGGCGAGCAGCGCCTCGAACGACACGGCGTCCGGCAGGCTGACGCCGTCCTTGCGCCCGACGCTCGACGGATGCGAGGCGATCGAGTCAAACGTAGCAATCGCGCGCTCCACGTCGCTGAGCATGCAGCCGTAGCAGTTGATCAGCGACGCCCAGTGCGTGCCCTGCACGTTGACCGCCGTATTGTTCGCCAGCTCGTCGAACACGCGCTCCATCTCGTGCGGCTGCACGGGCTCGATGGCGCCATACAGGTCGAGCAGCAGCTTGTACGTGTGTGCGCTCGGCCTCACGTCGGCGGCGCGCATCTTGTGGTAGTAGGCCAGCGCACGCTCGCGGTCGGGCACGCTCTGGATGAAGAACTGCATCATGGTGTTGTACGGCGGCACGCGCGGCTTGAACGACGGGTCGCGCTGCATGCGCTCGAACAGCTGCACGGCGCGCTGCTCGTCGCCGATCCTGGTGCACGCATTGATCACCGCGCCGTACGTCACGCTCGTCGGGTTGATGCGATGCGTTTGCGTCATCTCGTCAAACAGCTGCAGTGCGCGGTCGGCCTTGCGGGCGCGCGAGAGCTTCGAGATGACCACGTTGTACAGGTACGCCGTGGGCCGCACGCCGAAGCGCTGCGACTCCTCGAACAGCTCCTGCGCGATCGTGGCGTCGTCGGTCGTCTCGCGGATCGTAGCGATGAGTGCAGCGTACGAGGTGGAGGTCGGATGGCCGCCCGCGGCGATCATGCGATGGCGGTGCACCGTGGCGGCCTCGGGCCGGCCGGCATGGCTGAGCGCCTGGATCATGTGGTCCTCTACAGAGAACCACGCCTTGGACTGCCAGCGCGCATCGCCCGCCAGAGCGTGCAGCACGTGCTGGCTCATCGCGTACAGCTCCTCGACGCGCTCCACGTCACCCAGACGGCCAAACGCGGCGATGAGCACGCCCAGACCTTCCGGATGCGCGTAGACGCCAGCGCGCATCTGCTTGCGCACATCGCCGTAGAGGCGCGGCGCATCGTCCTGGCCCGACGGACGCGACAGCCCAAAGAGAGCTTGACCAAAGTCCGTGTCGACCACCTCGACGGGCGGGAAGTAGGGGATGTTGGCATTCGAAAGCGCGGGTGCGGGCAGATCTTGACGGTGAAGCGGCGAGTGTCTCCTGGGAGGCGTAGAGGCTGGCGTGGATGCGCTGAGCTGCGATTCGGACGCAGTCACGTCGCTCGTGGTTTCGGCAGTAGCAGAAGCGGCGTCCGCTCCATCAACGGCACCGTTTCGAGCGGCAGCCAGAGCCTGCGTCGCCCATTCAGGGAAGAGCGCGAGCGCCTCGTCTCCATAACGAGACGAAGCCACCTCGACCGCCTTTGCCAGATCGACCGCCGGACGGGACGGAGCACCCTCGGTGGCTGCCTCGGGAGCAGGCAGCTTGGCGAGGTCGTGCAGGACAATCGGGATGCCATCGGCCTTGAACGCATCGAGGCTGAGCGGACGCAGGTTCTCCTCCTCGAAGCAGAACGCCTCGAGGATGAGCGTCCAGGCATCTGGCGAGAGCGGCAAGCTTGCCACTGCCTCGGGCGTCTGTGCGTGGACCGATCGGTAGAGCGTCGTGAGTGCCTGTGCCGTGCTTTCATCGAGCCGATCCGCGGCGCGCAGCAGCGGAACCAAATACTGCGCCGCTGCAAACAGTCTGAGCGGCGCCGCATCCGCATCGCCCGCCTCGGCGTCCACAGCCAGGAACTTTCCGCCGAGCTGCGAGAGCTTTTCTGCGAGCGGGGCGTATTCGGCGGTGGTCAGGTCGAGTCGGTCGAAGAAGAAGTGGACGTAGCTGAGTGCGGAGCCGGCATCGACGGGGCGTGCGGCGGTCACGAGCGTGTCGCTGAGTGCAAAGAAGGCCTCGACGATCTGCTGCGTGGCGTGCGGATATTCGATGGGATCATAGAAGTGGAGCGAGTCCGGGAGACAGCCAAAGTAGGTGGAAGCAGCCTCGAGCGCGCGGTCGAGCACCGCATTGACATCGTCTTGCTTTGCACCTGCGTCTTGCATCCGCTTGACGCTGGCGACGTGCGCCGTAAGCACGTTGGCGAGCACGGCAAACTGGGCGGCATGAGTCTTGAAGAGGGTGCGTGTGTAGCTCTGGAAGACGCGCAAAAGCGGTTCGAGCAGCTCGTCGTTGCCCGACTGTGCGATGCTGACGATGAGCTGCTCGACGGTCGAATGAATCGGCCTTGGCATGTCCGACTCGGTCGAGGCTTGCGAGCCCTGCATCTCTTGGGCCGGCGTGAGCTTTGTGTACCACTGGAGTGCGGTGGTGACGTCGCCGATGTTGAGGAAGCCGCGGATCATGGACGAGACGACAAAGCTGTCGAGCGCAGGCACATTGTCGCCGCCCTCGAGCATGTTTTCAAATAGGCGCACGGCACCCTGCGGATCGTTGAGCGCAAAGTGGGCGTCGATGAGCGAGCACCACACGACGGCGTCGCGGTCGTGGTTCCAGTCCGGATTCTGACTCGCAAGGAGGAACTCGTCAAACACCTGCTTGCACGCGGCGAGCTTGCGCGCCTCCTGCATCTCGTGCGTCTCGGTGGGCTTGAGCTGCGGGTCGGTAACGAACGTCTTGATGAGGTGCTTGAACGTATTGGCATCCGTGTTGGCGAAGAGGCTGCGTTCGAGCAGGTCGAGCACGCCAAGTGCGCTGTCGACATCGCCGCGCAACGCGCAGCTCGAGAGCATCGCATTGTACGCATGCGCATCGTCGAACCACAGCCGACCGCCATGGGCGACCTTCATCAACTCGAGTGCCTGGCCAAAGTTGTCGTCGGCCGCCGGCGCAATTGTGCCCTCGGCCGCATCCTTGGCAGCCGGAGCTTTTGCCGCAGGCTCGGCGGGGTTGAAGGTCCGGTCGCCGTGCGTCTCGGCGTCGAGCGCACAGAGCGCCTTGACGAGCACGGTGTAGGTGCGCGAGTTGGGCGAGAGGCCCGCCTGGAGCATGGCGTTGTACGTGTCGGTGATCTCGCGCACGGGCTGACCGGTGTAGCGGATGGAGAGGAGCGACTCCATGACCATGTTGTACCCCTTGGTGGTCTTCTGCTCCTTGGGGAGCGCATTGAATGCGGCGACGGTGTGGCGGATCTCGGCGGCGTCTCCCCTTGTGGTGGCGCGACGCAGCGTCCTGTACAGGCGGTCGTGTGCGCTATGCTGCTGCGACGCCTCGACGTTGGCGGCATCAGCCTGCGCGGCCGAGGACGAGATGTGCCTGGTGGACTGCGCGGCCGTGTTTGCCTCCTGATCGGCGTGTGTGCTGTCGGCGGCGGTGACGAGCAGCGGACCGTGATTGGCAGCAAAAGCATGTCGGAACCTGACCTGCATGTGCGAGTTGGTGAGGTGTCCGGGCGAGGCGAGCGTAGGAAGGTGGCCATCCAGCCTGAGCTTGTAGGCCTTTTGCCTCCTGATCTCGTCCTCGTCGTCGGTGCTCTTTGAGTTGGCATCGTTGCCGCTGGAAGTGCTTGCCTGCGACAGAACGCGGCCGGTGTGTTGGTACGAATGGTAGGCGCCGCGACCTGCGTGGAACTTTGCGCCTCCTGCGCCTGCGCCTGCGGACGATCCACCGCTGCTGAGACCCGATGCCCATCCGGACGCGGATGATCCTGTACTGGACGTGGAGCCCGAGGCGCCCTGGAAGGCCCCGCGGAAGGTGTTGGCCGAGTTATGTGCGGCATTGGCCGCCGACTGCGCGGCGCCCCTCCATATGTGAGAGGCGAGCTTGGCGGCCGAGCTCACGGGCATAGCTGCCGTGATGCCGAGCCGTTACCTATTCTAGCCCGCACTACTGTGGTAGTCAGCGAGGGATGGTGGATAGCAATGCACGAATCGATGACGAGGGTGAGGAGGTGGTGAGTCGAGACTGCGAATGCAAACGTGCGTTGGTGTTGTGGCGTGGTGGGTGGTGGTGAGAGGAGATGATCAGGGCCTGCCCTTCGAAACGAATGTCGGAGAGGGAAAGCCTCGAAAGTGAGTTGGAACTGGTCTAGCTGGAGTTGAGAGTTGGTTGGATGATATGGTGGTGAGAAGCTCTCGAAAGGGTTGCCGAAAGGGTCGCTTTTGCTGAGCTGAGTCGATTTCGGCTTTTTTTTCTCCACACGGGCCCTTCCTCGCCTTTGGCCTTCATTTCTGCAAGGCACCCGATTTTTGCCATTATTTTTCCTTTTCGAGTCGTTTTCTTCCGAAGCCTTCGGCCGTTCATTTCGCTGCGAATCGGGAGGGTGATGAGGTGGAGGCGTGGAAGGATCGGGCGCCGCCTTTGGGGTCCGCGGAGAGGCGCAAACGCGGCGGAATCGCGCACGAAAGTCGCCGCGCCCCGGGTGGTCGAAAGCGCCCGGCGTCTTCCGCTGCGCAGTTGGGCAGCCCGTATCCCACCGTCCCTATCCATGCCGTCCGATGATCACATGGCATCCTGCTCGTTCCGGCGCGCCACACGGCTGCGCCCGCGCCCGACGTCCGACATGTCTGGTCGATGAAGTGAGGTGCTACCGAGGTGTATACGCGGATCGAGGCTCTTTTCCAATAGTAGCGTGCACAGGTGTGGTTAGCGCCGATTGTCCGTCATGCTGGTGGGGGGAGTTCGGCTTGGTTCGGTCCGGTGCGTGCCGGCGGGACACTCAGACACCCACATACATCCGCATCCGGCTCACGACCCACTGGATCCACGCCGAATGGGCTCCGGAGGCTGTGTTTGCGCTCGGGCGTGCGACGCATGCGCCTTTTACCCACTTAGTTCTGCATGAAGATAGATCTACGAGTACCGCCATCTCTCTCTCTCTCTCTCGTTGGTTTGAATCGTCAATATGTTGATTTCTGCCGCCTGTCGCTTGCCTTTGTAGCGTCCAGCCATCCTTCGCCATCGCCGACTCCAAGGCGTCACGTGTGGTCCATTCAAGCAAGATGCTACCGAGGTGTACAGAGCACTTCACCTCCTCACGCAGCCTCTATCGCTGTGAGGGACATCAACTGTTGCTCGTGCATCGCACCGTCTCCACGTATCTGTATCGCATCCATCGATGACCGTGGCACGCCCAAGCTACGATGTCTTGATTGCATCCATCTAGAAAACGACCACCGCACGTCCGATCAACGCATCCATATCGCAGGTCGACAGCATCGCACTGTTTCCACATGGATTGCTAGTCAACCACAACCGCACGTCCGATCAACTGCGCAAGCATGTTGACCGCCGCTATGCCCCAGGGCTGCCCATGAGGCGCTGCGATCTGGTGTCGTTCCTCGGCCACCAGTCTGAGCGCATGCAAACATTCGAGCACGTCCTGCATCACCTCTTCCTTCTCCTCCACCCTCCAGGTCTGCAGCACGTCAACGGCAAGTACATGACTTGCCACATCCCTTCCACCTTCACTTCTCGGTCTGTGGACGAGAATCGCCGAGGCTGTCGAGCTCGCCATCTCCTCTGTGCTTCCGTACGTTGTCCAGTCGAGGGGGAGCGGTTCAGTGAACTGCAACACTTGCGAACAATCGGCAGCGTCCATCAGCACCGCATTGTTCTTGTCGACGTGGGCTGTTTCGGTGGACGGCCTGGTGCGAGCGCCCACATCGGCAAGAATCGCACCGGCATCGTCCGGACGCACGCACAGCAGTACTACACTCCCCACCGCAAGCTTCCCATCCTGCGTCTGGGAAAAGTACGCTTCGACGCACGATTGCCATCCCCTCTGCTCCTGTGAGCTCATCGGCACGGTGCTCGAGATGACCAGTCGCCACGAGAGACGTGCACGGCTCGCTTGGCCAATCGCATACCGCCACACCTGGTCGATCCAGCCCTCCGCATCGCCCATCAGCACATCCACATCGCTCGAGCCCCCGCGCTCATCAATCGCGCTAACCACCACCATCTTCTGCCCCGCATCGCCGCAGACGCGGTAGCTGACGTGCAGCATGAGCGCGTCGTCCAGTGCCGTCGTCGGCTCCCTTGGCCAGCTGAGCGAAAAGTCCGTCCTCCCCAGCTCCGTCGCCAAGCTGAAGGCGGGAAACTGCACAATCGCCGAGATCGGACCCGCTTCTCGGCCATGTAGCACCTTGGCCGGCTGTCGTCGAACCAGTCGAGGCAGCTGGTCGTACACCGAAAACGCCAGCCTTCGCACCGAGTCGCTCTGCTGTCCGAATCCGAGACTTCCGCTCTCGGTCATCATCGCCGGACTAATGGGACGCACGATCAGATGCTCCGCAAGCACCCCGACCTGCTCGGCAAGCATCACGCGCAGATCCGCCTCGAGCTGCAACAGCCCCCGGAAACCCGATGCCGCACACGTCGTCGAAGCGGGCGGTTGCAGCGCATAGATCACCACATGCCGACCCTGGAGCACGTCCATCTCGACGCGGCTGGCGATCGAACGCAGCGTATCGACCCACGCCTCGCCGTCGCGCCATAACCGCTCCAGATAGCTCGACAGCGCCAGTGGCTCGCTCCCGTCCGCCATGGCTAGGATCGACCCACTCCCGCCCGCGTGCGTGCCCAGACCATACGCTTCAAACGCACCGCGCAGCCGCTCGAGCCACGCCACAATCTCGTCGTGCCACGCCGCAGACGCATGTGTCAGCAGCACTTTCGCCACAACGTGCTTGTGCCCGCTGACCGCCGACAGCTTCGACTTGTCCCAGAGGCTCAACGCCGACGGCAGCGCCGACACCACCGAGCCTTGACAGCCCGCCGCGATGCTCGTCGGTTCCAGCACCTCCGCCTGCACCACGTCGCCCTTGGTGGCCTGACTCGCATCCGACGAGGCCGCGTTGACAACTAGGCCCTGCAGCGTAGGAAGCGCCTCTTGCTCCAGAAAACCGTCAGAATGAGTGGCGCCCTGCGTCGATGGCTTGGTCTCGCATCCTTGGGACACTCGGAGCGCAGAGGCCATGGCAGCAAGCACCTCGAGCTTTTCGCGCGTGGCAATCTCCGAGACTTCGCTTCCGACATCCACTGCACGGCTGAACATGGATCGGAACTGCGGGTTTTCGAGCAACCAGCGCGCAGTCCTCGAGAGCATGGACCGCTTGATCGTTGGTGGCATCGAGGATGCAGTCGCCGCTGAGCCGGGCCACAGCATGGGAGAAGAGGTAGTGGCAGAGTTGAGCAGCGCAGCGCGCTGATGCGAGCCCGTCGCCTCAACTTCCGACGATGCGCTAGAGGCACCACACAGGTACGAGGCAACAATGTGCCTGGAGCACCTCTTCATCTTTTCCTGGTCCTGCAGCGAGAGCGTCACCTCGGTGACGTCCGAGTCGCTGTGCGCATCATCGCTCGCCTCGTCGTCATCCTCGCTGCTCGAGCTGTCGCTATCGGACACGCTAGCCCTTCTCGCGATCGCAATGTCGTCGCTCGACCTCGGGGTGGACGCCACATCGAGCCCACGCTGACCACTCTGGCGTCCACCCGCCGCAACAGCTTGTCCCGGCGACATCTTGCTGTTGCGGTCGCGACGCAGCTGCAGAAGCGCCTGGCCTCGTCGACCCACCGCCTTCGGAGGCGAAGCTCGCGACGGCCGCAGAGCAAAGCGCGACGCAAACGTTGCCGATTCCTTTCCGTCATCCAGCACATTCTGATCCGGAGAGAGTGCATTGGCTGCGTTCGGTAGGGCATGCAGCACCGCCGTGCTCTTTGGCCTCGAGGCGAATTTGCCGAACAAGTCGTACTTGCGCCCGAGGTTGGCGCGCGCCCCCATCGTAAGCCTCTGCAGCGGCTTGCGTGCCTGCGATTGCGTCAGTGGAAGAAAGGCATTGGGCACAATGGCTTGTCGCTTCTTGTTGCTTGGGTCGGTCGACATGGCAGCATTGGCCGCCGCTGCAGCCGCCGAGCTCGCATCCCCCAAGCGCAGCTGTCCTCCTTCGTCCTGGGGCTCCAACTTGGATCCAGCCGCCGATGGGAGGCTGGCCCGGTCTTGCGGCGCAAGATGTGCGTATCGGCCGTCCAGTTGCGCCGACTCGCCAGCATGATGGTTGCCGGCTTCCGAGCCAACGATCGTGGCGCCGTCGCGATACTCCTCGACCGGCGAAAACGGAGTGCGCGGCGTCTTGTGATTAGCGTGACCAAAAGCCGGCGAGCTCTCCGTCAGCGAGCTTGGCGTGAAGCCCGGCAGAGAAGCCGGATCGCCGAAGGGCGTCGCTGCCGAGACAGACCGAGGCGTAAAGGAGACCGTGACCGGCGGCAAGGCTTGTGACGAGCTCGCAGCGAGTAGCGAGGGTGCTGCGGAGGCGCTGACAGCACCGTGCGGCGGCGGCTCGCTCGCATGCACCTGCGAAGACTCGGGTCCCATCACGTCCTGCATGTTTGGAATGGCGCCGAAGAGCGCGTCAAGATTGGTCGCCTCGAGATCTTCCATCTCCACATCGCCGATGCCAGCGGACGTGGCTGACATGGACGTCGGTTGCGCAGCGGCACCACCAGACGGATCCGTTGCACTCGTCTCACCGCGCCCCGATCCATGCTGATGAGCCGTAGCATTGGCAGGCGCATCGGCTTGCGAGACACCCGAAGGATCGAGGTGCGACGGTATTGCCCCTTGCTCGCCGGGCAAGGCACTCGGCGACTCCAAACCAAAGGCCGACTCGTCGAAGAACGAAAAGTCGTCCTCAGTCAGCAATCCCAGGTTTCCAAAGATATCGCCCTCGCCCTTGCGCTTCGTCTGCGTCTGCCCAAAGCTGAGCGGAGTGGCAGCTTGGCCCTGAAACGGCGTCGATCCGGAAGAATGCAAGCGTCCCTGCGGCTGTAGCACAGCTTGAGCTGTTAGGGACGCCGGATCTTGTTTGGCTTCCAAATGGTTGACATTGTCGCCGCCAGCATCGAGGCCGGTCGCAAAGGCCCAATTCGAACCAGAAGGATCCAGGTCCAGGCCCTTGACTTCACCTGCAGCCTGAGCAGCAGGAACGGCACTCGATGCTGGCGGGACGACAGTCGGCGCAGAGCCAACAGGGACGGAAGACGCCGGCAATGCGGCTGCTGAAGCGGCAGCACCAGGGACCTCGCCAGTAGCCTGTGGCAGGAACTCCATCCAACTGAGATCATCGGCGAACTGTTGCTCCGCACCATTGGTGCTCGGGCCAGCTTCGGCACAAGCGTGGTCTCGTTTCTCCGGCGACGTTTGGGAGTCGGTCCGTGGCACGGTAGGAAGCGACTGCGAAGGTGTGGCTGAAGCAGCTGAAGGCATGGCGAGGTCAAAGTCGGCGAAAGACATGCTGGCAGGTGTGATGCCAGGACGGGCGGAGGAGAGGCGCTCGCCGCGATGGCGCGTGAGCGAGGCGTCGTCGGGTTCGCCAGGGGTGAAGGGCGGTGCGCTCTGAGCCGCGACGGACTCGTTGGCATCGTTGAGCACCTTGAGGGTGAAGGAGACGAGCTCTTTGAGCGGAGTGACGGGTTCGCTGCGGATGGTGTGCAGATCGTTGTTGGCAGATGCACCGGGCCAGGATGAGATCCAGGCAGCCCTGCGTGGGTCGAGAGCAACGAGGCACAACGAGACGGGCCATAAGAAGCGGCGGTCTTCGGGGCTACGCTGCTGCTGCTGGATTTGTTCGCCAAAGCCTGGTGCGTCGAGTAGATCTAGGCCCATGTCATCGTCAATAGCCTGGATATGCGGATACGCGGCGAAGGAAGCTTCTTGTGGCTGCTCGAGCGGATGGCTTACTTGCCCTGCTGACGCATGCGCCTCGGCCAGGGCAGGAGGCAGAGCGCACACCGCGATTCCGCTGGCGAACAGATCCCCTTCGACCGGTTGAACGCCCATGCCATTGCCGCTGCCGAGATCGAGCGATGCGAAGAGCGACCTGAGTTGAGACAGACGGTCGCTGGCAATGCTGTCGGATGAGACCACGTGGACGAGTTCGGCCCTGTGTCCGAGCGGAGCCAGGTGCAGCTGCGGGCGAGCTTCGGGTGGGAGTGTCGGAGCTCCGAGCTGGCCTCTGGGGGTGCTGGCCAGCGGTAGCGCGGCAAGGCGACGCGAGGTGGTGCGAAGGAGCAGAGAGGACGGGCACAGCGAGAGACGCAGCTCTGCCGCAAGGCAATGCAAATCTGTCGAAGCCGTGGGCGCACCGAGCCGAGTGGATGATCCAGGCTTGTCGTGCGCCTGCGATGAAAGAGTGGCGATGTCTGCGGACGGTGGTAGGAAGACGACCGAATCACCCAGACGAAGGCGGCGACGGAGCGTGGGTCTGAACGTTGGGGAAGCGCTCGTTCCTGGTTCGCCTGCTGGTGACGATGAGGAGCGTGGCGATGATTCATGTGCAAACACACTGATTGCCCTCGTCCTGAGCGTTGCCATGAAGCGGCAATGCGCTTGCTGCTGCTGTGATGTCAAGACAGACTGCTTTCCTTTGTTGTCTTTGGAGCTAGGACATGCAGTTGAGAGCAGGTAGGAGCCCGAGTCGACGGTGGCGACATCGAAGAGACGCGCGAGCGCCTTGACGGATTCGGAGGGTAGTGAGCGTGCCACGGCGGGGAGAGAAGAGGCTGCGGGGGTCGTGGATGTGGCTTGCTGCTGGGGCACGTTGAGGGTGGTGGCATCCATTCCTGCCGATTGCGCCATGTCCTGCGTCTGAGCAGCATTTGTGGCGGCGGCGGCTGCTTGAGCGCCCATGGATGATGTCTTGCTCGTCGGCTCGTAGTCATCGTCGTTGGCGACTGCAAAGAGCCAGAGATCCGAGACAGTGGCGTAGATCGACGAGTCTGGCGCTGTTCCATCTAAGCTCTCCGCGGTGGAAGGACGAGGGATGTGTGTGTAGAGGAGAGTGCTGCGCACGAGCCGCTCGAAGGCGTCATCGGGAATGCTTTTAGATAGAGCTTGGAAGTTGTTGCTGTTGGTGAGGATCTCGTGGACTGCGTTGGTCCATACCGCATCCCTGTCTTGGCCCTGGTTCGTAGAGGTGAACGTGGCTCCAGCGGGGGCCGTGGCGTCCGGTTGAGTGTGATCTTGACCGAGTTCGGGAGGCGGGTCAGAGTCGGGCTTCCGCAGGCGTAGCCAATGGACCGTGGTGTTTGATGGAAAGGGCAGCTTTACGAGTGATGCTGGTGTACGCTCTGTGAGGCGCGAGAGGTACTGCATCGACCTGAGGTGTGCTGATGCGCTTGCCGGAGGCATGGCAGAGCGAGGCGCGGCGACGGTGCCGGGGAAGGGGGTGTTGGAGTGAAGGCGGGAGGATGCAGGAGTGGTGGAAGGCGATGCATGCTGAATTGGCGCCATGGATCCGACGCGTCGATGTGCCGAGGGGCTGTTTGCGATGCTGTTGGAGCGTGCATGCGCTGCGAACGAGCCGGATGTGTGAGCCATGGTGGTGTAGCTACCGGCACCACTGCCTCCCGCTGCTGATGGCGTAGCGCCCGACGCGGGCTGTTGGTTCCACATGGGGCTTGGCGACGGCGCCGTCAGCTGAAGCTGAGCATGAGAGGCGGCTGGTGTAGCAGGTGGGACACGATGCCTGTTACGCGCTTGCTAGCGTGGTTGCGTTTCCGTTCCTCGAGCAGGGTGAGGTAGGAGGGCGGGTGGGTTGGTGAGTGCCGCTGACGCTCCGCTGTGGCTGGCAGGCTGCGACGTGTGTGGTGGGGTTGTGGAAGAGCGTCTTTCGGCAGCTGGCTCGCATGTACAAGTATGGGGCTTCGATGCAGTTGAACGCCGCACAGACTGTGACAGCCAAGCTTTTGGCTCCACTCTCGACCGGCTAAAAGAGGGTCCAACCGTCGAACCTCGTGACAGCTCCGATCGGACTGCAACCCCGGATCGGCTTGTTCTCGATCCGAATCAGCCGATTCAGAATTATCGTCGCGGAATTTCGGCGTGCCTTTTCTCAGCCCTTTTTCTCAAGAACCATTTCCCCAAGTTCCCAACCAGGAAAAACGAGAGTGGCTCCAAAGATGCTGGTCAGGCACATTGTTGTCAGCGACTGTGTGATGGCGCCGGATGAAAGGGCTGCCCGACGCATACTGAACAGCTATATCGCCTCTAGATGCTATGGATGAACTGAACGCGACTGCTAGTGCTCCGATGGGCAGGGAGGGCGAGAGAGCACACCGCATCGGACGATGGCAGGATCGCAACGCCCGATGTCGCACTCGAAGGCTGCTGTGCACAGCATCGGAGCTTGGTCTTCGGACTTCGCACGACCGGCGACGAGCATGCTGGTCGGCATGGGAGTGACGCTGCAGTAACAGGACGGGCAAAGATGCGAAGAGCGGACACGACGAGTGGATCGGATTTGGGATCGGTGCGTGTGAGCTCGGCCAAGTGTGTGCGGCAAGTCCGAGTCGCGTCTTGGACACTTTGGAGCTGCTGCTCTGCCACTGCGGCTGATGGTCTCGGAGGACCTGACAAAAAAGCAATTTGTCCAGGGCCATCACCGAGGCTTGCCGCTTTGCCGCTTCCGCACGGCGAGAATGTAGCAGCACACACACCTTGTCTTTCTTTTTTCAAGAGGAGCTACAGCGGGCCGACGGGAAGACGCCCACCGATGGCAGTTGCAGCGCAGAGATTGCCAATCAACCCCGCCCACAGCCATTGTGGTCCTCTGATGTGCGCCAAGCAGCGCATGCCAGCCTCGACCCCTGCCAAGATGGGGTGCGAGGCATTTGGTCGCTCTACGAGGCGTACGCAGCGCACCATGCACGACCATGCAGCTGCTTGCATGGAGCGAATTTCGGCTGCGTCTTTGCTCTGGCCTCGCTAAACTGGCAGTTGGGACGGCTCGATCTGCGGCGCTACCTTAAGTCGAATGCTGCCACTGACTCCTTGCGCCCTACAAACACGGCTCGCCCAAAGCACACATGGCTCAACTCACAGCGACGGGAAAGATCTGGCTCGCCTGAGTTGCAAAAATCTGCCTAGCGAGGCGTCGAGGAAGCTTAGGAGAATTTCCATCGGCTCAGCCTGCAGCGTCATTGTTGGCTCAAACTCGACGGGTGTTGATCGAAACAATCCGGTCGAAGGTTTGCATCCTCGTCATCGATCGGTGTCGATCGCCCGAAAAGGATACAGTACGACGTTGCCAAGATGCAAAGCCAAGGCCCCAGCCAAGCGTGGCCAAGGAGGGCCAAGACATGCCGATTTGGGCAACATGGCGGTGATCAGGGGGGGCAAGGCTAAGATGGGCGCGTGCATGGACGTTCGATTGCGCCGCCTCGAAGCGCTAAGCAACCGCACAGGACAACGACGCCAGATCTAGCGCCCTCAGCTGCAACGAGGCTCGAGCTCAACAGCACATAGTTGCAATGCGCAACGTCTTGCTTGGCGCCACTTAGTACTGTAGCCCTTGTTGGATCGGTCCACGGTGAGGCGAGCTCTTGCGAGCTGCAACGGCCATTGTTGATGTGTCGGCCCTTTGATCGAGTGCAAGTGCCCCCTATGCATTGCCAGTCTTCTCTCCTTCTCCATCGAGTGTGCGAAAGCGTGCCGAAGCATTTCGGAAGCATCCTACCCTTCTGGCGCCTGCATTGGTTGCACTTTGCACGCCTCCAACAGCGGAGATGAGCAGCAGCAGCAGCGTCGGAAGAGCGTGCCCAACAGCCCGCAAGCTGAGACCGACACTGGCGAGGTGCGGGATCGACGAGATGCATGGGTTTCGGACACTCCGACCTGCAGTCATTTGGCTAGCGCGGCTCGACCGACGACGCGTTGTGCTGTTCTGCTGGCGGGCGGAGCGGGCGCGAACTCAGTGTTGGTTTCGCATGCATGCCAGATGGCAGAGGCTGGCAGAGGCTGTCGACCGTCGAGGTGCGCTCTGGCTCGGCTGTTGCACTTCTGTCGCTCGGCAGCTCGGCAGGGCGCGTTGCACGTCCTTTTGCGCAGAAGCGGCGCAGCACATTCGCGTGCCCGCCAAGCCGTCGCGACGGTATGCAATTTTCCACTCGCCAAATTCCAGCACAGATGCACGCTGCACCGCCTGCGCCGAGGCTCTTGACGCGAGCTCGACACGGCTGAGATGCCTCGAGGCTGCACGTCTGCGCATGCGCCTCGGTTGCGCCGACGCGGGCAGACCAACGCAGATCAACGCGTGTTTTTCTTGCTTCCCTTCCCCTCGCCAATGCCACAATGCCGCAATGCCACACTCTCCAGCCTGCAGATGCCAAGTTTGTCGATCATCGCCATCCCTTCCTTTGCCGTACGTCAGTCAAAAAAGGCTCGACGGGCGCAGGGGCTGCTGCCCTTTGACAACGTCCAAGATGGGCAGGTCGGATCATCCGCGCAGCAACACACTGTCGCTGCGCTGCCGCTGCGCTCTTTGTTCTCCGCTGCTCCGCTCCTTTGCTCCATTGCTCCTTTGTGTGTGGATTCGGCACTGCAACTGAGGCCGAGCGCACATCGTGAGCGTGTTGCTCTCTCTACCATGCAGCGCTCGAGTTCGAAAGGCGAGCCATGCTCAACGCCTCTCGAGATTGAGATCCGCTGGGCTGTTGTGCCGCTGTTGCCCTTTGTGCCTCGCCGCCTCGTTGCCTGATTCAGCTTTGCATGCCCTCCCCTTCGCCCTTTGGCTCCTCGTCCCTGATGGCAACGCTCCTCCCTTCTCCATCCTCATATCCATCCATCACCATCCTCCTCCCTCCTCTCTCCACTCCATCCTCTCCGTCCTCCCCCTCCTCTTCACCTCTTTCGGACGTGGCTTTGAGAGCACACGACGATCACCACCACCACCGACCCCCTCCCATCCCTCTTGCCCGGTCGACAACAACAACAACAACAACACCAACAGCAGCCACAGCGCTTATCATACACCACAACACACCACTAACAGCTACATCAGCATCCTCGTTTCGTTTGTCTTTGCGGCATCCTTGCATCTCGCTCACCCAGCATCGTTTCATCCGCAGCATAGGACGTGACTTGCATTCTCTCTCTCCACTCTCCACCACCGCATCGACTCGATCCTAGCCCTACCACCACATTCTTTTCCCCGAAAACACATCCGCGCACCAACATGCGTTTCTCCGTGCAGATCCTCGTGGCCGCTCTGGCCGCGCTCCTCTGCGCCGTCTCCTCTACCGAGGCCAAGCTGCAGCGCGGTCTCGCGTGGGGTGTCAACGACAACTACGGCCCACGCATCGCCAAGGGCCTGATCAAGTGGTACTGGCACTGGCAGGACGGCCCCAACCCCAAGTTCAACGGCAAGCTCGAGTGGGTGCCGTGCTTCTGGGGCCCCAAGTACTACTCGCAGTGGAACCAGCGCAAGCAGGAGATGAAGGGCAACCTGCCCAAGTACCTGCTCAGCTTCAACGAGCCCGAGATCCCCGGCCAGTCGAACCTCGACCCCAAGTACGCGGCCAAGCTGCACATGAAGGAGCTCGAGCCGTACGCCAAGAAGGGCGTCAAGATCAGCTCGCCCCAGATGGTGTACAAGACCGAGTGGCTGCAGGAGTTCATGGACGAGTGCAACAAGCTCGGCTGCACCATCGACTTTATCGCCATCCACTGGTACGGCACCACGGGCGACATGGCCAAGTTCAAAAAGTGGATCAAGACCATCCACTCGCGCTTCAACAAGCCCATCTGGGTCACCGAGTACGGCATCACCGCCGCCTCGGGATCCAACATGGGCGCCATCAAGAAGTTCCACATGGACGCCACCGCGTGGATGACGCAGGTCAAGTACGTGCAGCGCGCCGCGTGGCTGGGCTGCTTTGAGATCAGCAACCCGCCCGACTCGTACGCCAACAACAAGAACGCCTTCCTCAACGGCAACGGCTCGCTGCGCGACATTGCCTATTGGTACATGTACACGCAGAAGCCGCACAAGCGCTCGGCGCACTCGAACCGCGCGCTGCCCACCTCGCACGTGGCGCGCCGCGCCGTGACGCACAAGGACGAGGAGGGCAACACGATCGTCGACGACGAGGACCCCTTTGAGGCGCCCGAGCACATTGTCGAGTGCGACGAGTACTGCCTCGCGCGCCAAAAGGCGGTCGACGCCTGGGAGGCCGAGCACGGCCCCATCAGCGACGAAGACGAGCTGGACAACRACGACGACGACGAAGAGTAAAGGGGTCATCCTCTCTCTCTCTCTGTGTGTCGCTCGAGCCCTATTCTCCCCATCTGGTCGAACCACTGTCACGGGTCCTTACATGGGTGCGATATTGTCGTCGCCATCGCTCTGTCTTTTATCGTTGCTTTGCTGCTCGCTCCGCCGTTGTCGTTGTGCTGGCACTCGTCTGGCCTTGCGCGCACACGCACATCCATCCCTCCCATCCACCACCACCACCATCATTTCCATTCCCTTAGTCTCGGTTTCGGCTACGTGTACCTTTGATTCTTCCTTGTTTCGGCCCTTCTCTTTGTCTTCTCAACCTCTCTTACTGCTATCTGCGCGATGATGGGACGGGGCACGATTGTGTAGACGATCGCCGGTCCGGTCGGATGCGTTGCGCCCCCTCGCTCACGTCTCTCTGGCGTTGGAGCCGCAAAAAGGTGCTGGAGGAAGCGGGCATTTCTCGCACCGCTCGAGTGTAGCTGCTTGCGATCACTTGTATATGGTCTCCAACCCGAACGCAGACAACGTTTTCTTCTTCTTCTTCTTGTTTGCAGTCTGGGCGATGTGTGTGTTTGTCTCCTGTTCCTGAGTTGGGAATGTTGACGAGGGGGGAGGGAGCGGGGTTGGGTCTGTTCGGGGATTACATTCCGGAAGGCTGCATGGCGTGGAGTGGCTTCCGTCTATTTTTGGGCGCAATCCTCCACTTTGCAGAGGCCGACAGTGGGTTCGCCTTTGCTTTGCTTTTCTTTTCTTTTTCTTTTTTTCGATTTTTCGATAGGCTTGGCAGGCGGGCATTTCGACCGCAATCGGACAAAAATGAGGCCGAAATCGAGGCGGAAATGAGGCCAAATGTGCTGGAAAAAGCACGGCCCTAATCATCGTCATCTTGCCTCAAAGTGCATACGACGAGCTACTGTAGCTGGCTTGCTTGTGCTCTTACACCTCCATTCCTCGCCCATCCTCATCCACACCGTCGGCTGTGCGGCTCATCTTCTCTTTGCGATTGGAGTCAGCCTCGTCCGCTTCCCCGCAAGCAAGTCCGCAGTCAGCATCATCTCTGTTGCATCTCCCTCGAACAGCATCAGCGTTGGCATCGGCATCACCATCACGGCTACCGCTGCCGTCGATATCCATTCGATCACTTGCAGCCGTCCGATGCTGCGGTCGTCTCTCGCATCGTTCGCTGAATAGGCGATCTCCTGTGCATGCAATCGCGCTCCTGTGCGAGCACTGCCGCCGTATTCTCCCGCGGCTTCGTCCTGCAAACTCGTCCTCGCATCCATCTTCAGGTAGCAAAGCCAACCTCGATCGCGCACAGACACTTCCACGCTCGTCCTATCCCGAGAGTGCTTCACAGCCTGACCGCACTAGCATCCGTTCCCACCGCCCCACCCAACCACGCCATCATGCCCTCGGCGGACCGCGCTCTGCCTGGCGGCGGGCCGGCGCCCCTGATCACCCTCAAGACCCACCCTCCGCTGCCGGCGTTCAGCATCCCCCACCGCGTCCCCGACCCGTCCGCCGACATCTCGTCGTTCAAGCTATCCATCCTCCGCATCCTCACCGGCCAGACCAATGCACAGTCGTCCACCAAGCCGCTCACCTTCTCGGAAGAGGTCAAGGAAAAGGCGATCAATGGCTGGAAGATGCAGATGCTCACCCTCGAGCTCAGGCAGCGCGACGACCTCGAAGCCGAAGACCCCGATGCGGAAGACGAGGACCCGACCGAGATGCGCGGCTTCGAGCTTCAGGACCACCACGAGTGCAGCTTAATCGAGGAGGGCGACCAGATTGTCGTCCGACTCAAACCGGCCCATACGCTCCAGGAGCTCGAGCTGCCAAAGCTGCCAGAGGCACATCGATACTCGGCTCCGACTGGATCGCTCACGAGGGCGGGCACGCTCTCTGAACCGCCGCCCTACTCGATCATCCAGCCTTCGGAGCCGTCGTCCTTCTCGTCGTCCGTGGGTGCACAGCCCAATGCGAACTACCACCAGCACCGCTACCAGGACTATCGCCAGTCCTTCCGCGTGGTCACTGCCACCAACGTCGGCTCGGGCCACATTCGTCGCTCCTCGGCCAACAATGCTGGCGGCTACTCGTCCAACAGCCCCGTCAACCTCGCAGGCGGGCTCAATCTGCTCCAGTCGTCGTCGGCCAAGCAGAGCGGGCCCAAGAACAAGCGCCGCTCCTCGGCAGCTGCCGTAGCAACCACCACGGCAACCACCAAGCCGAGTGCCAGTCCCAAGCTGGGTGGCTCAGCTGCGCTTCCCACCGCCACAACGCCTTCGACCTCAACCCAGGCTTCTGCATCCACTAACCCGAGCACCGCCGCGCTGCCGTCCTCGACGGTTGACCTGCAGCATGTCGCATCGCCGCCGACCTCGCCTAGGCTCGACTCGGGGGCTGCCACGCCGGTCTCTGCTTCGGCTGCAAATGAAAAGCCCTCGGCACGCCGCAACAGCTCGTCGACCGTCAATGCGGCTGCGCAGCGGTCTGCGTCTGCGGCAGCCGCGAGCGCTTCGTCGCCCAACTCGCCCCATCCCGATGGACGCTCGAGTGGCTTCCTGGCGATGCCCGCCACCGCGCTCGTCATCGGCCCGGGCGTGCAGGGCCAGGTGGGGCGCAATCCGAACAGCGTCAATGCGCCCATCGGCTCGCTCGGCGGACCCGAGATCACCAGCACCGAGTACGGCAATGCGCGAGGCTTTGTCGGCTTCACCTCGGCCGGTGGAGGCGAGCTCAGGGCTAAGCCAAGACGCCGACCGAGCAAGCAGAATAGCCAGGAGTTCAATTCGGCTGCTGCGGCGGATGCAGCTGAGAAGCGCGCGGCCCTTGCACGTCGGGCGTCGAACGAGGCGGGTCAGAACGGCAACGAAGCGCCCAAACGACCGGTCAAGGAGAGACAGGCATCGTCGAGCAGTCGTGTGGGCAAGACGGAGCTACCGACCCCACCTGTGCTGCCGCCCATCCAGAACCTCGCGCCGTTCCCAGAGATGATCGAGGCGAGCGAAAGGCCGAGGCGCGAGCGCGACCTACCGCCCATGCCCACCGCTGCGGACGAGGCCGAGAACGGTGCGTCGATGGTGGCGGTGAGTGCGCCCACCGAGTCGCGTCCGCCGCGGCTGTCGTTCCTGCGCAAGTTCAGCAGCGCCACCAACACCAGTCGCAACACGGACAGCGGGCAGGATTCACCCGGGGCGGAGCCGCGCGGACTCGGCCTGGGCTCGTACCGCGCATCGCACGTCACCAGCACGCCGATCGACGAGATGGACGCCGCAATCAAGCCCGCCCTCGACGGCGAGGCGCAGAACAACAGCCTCACGAGGGCCGAGCGCAGGTACCTCGAGGTGCAAAAGGCGCTCGCTGACGAGAGAGACAAGCAGGCCGAGGCGGAGAAGCTGCGTGCGGGAGAGATCCGCGCACAGCACGAACGCAAGCAGAAGGAAAGAGAGAAGAAGGAGGCCGAGGCAAAGAAGCGCGCCGAGGAGCAGAAGTGGCAGATGTGGGAGGAGGTCAGGCGCAGACAGAAGACCGCCGATACCGCCAAACCCGTGCCGCCGGGCATTCAGAGGCTGTATAGCGGCGCTACCGCCGACTCGAACGGCTCGAAGGACAAGAGTGCAGCCCAGCCAGTGCAAGCAACGAGGCCAGGCGGGTCGCGCGCTCGCGCTGCCTCGACCGAGCATGCTGCGGCGGCGGAAAGCAACGTGCGCTCGGCAGGCACGAACGGTGCGGCGGGAGCAGCTTCAACCCCTTGTGCAGCGGGTGCGGGCACGGCGGGCGATAGCAGCTCAAACGGCGCTTCCGGTCCGCGCATCGAGCTGGGGCTGGAGCGCATCACGCGGCTGCTCGCACGTCTCGGCTCGCCGCATACGCGCTTCCCCGTGATCCACGTGGCGGGGACCAACGGCAAGGGCAGCACCATCGCGTACCTGGACGCGGTGCTGCGCAACGCGCTCGACATCCGCACGGGCACCTTTGTCAGCCCGCACCTGATCGAGCGCCGCGACTGCTGCAAGGTCAACGGCGCGGTGGTGTCGAAGCCGATCTGGCGGCTGGCGCAGTCCGACGTGCTATCTGCCGACCAGGGGCTTGACATCCCCGCGTCCGAGGATGATGACGGGCAGCCACTCAAGTCGTCGCCATTTGAGCTGCTCACGGCGCAGACGTTCCAGGCGTTTGCATTGTTGCCCGAGCACGAGCGGCCCGAGGTGCTGTTGATCGAGGTCGGGCTGGGCGGGAGGCTGGATGCGACGAACGTGTTTGGGCGCGACCAGGTGCTGGCGAGTGTGATTTGTCCGATCGACCGCGACCACGAGGCGTTCCTGGGCAGCGAGCTCGCGGGCATTGCGCGCGAGAAAGCGGGCATCGTCAAGGATTCCGGGCTCTGCATTATCGCCGATCAACGCTTGGAAGACGTGGGTGCGGTGGATCAGCTTGCGCTTGGGCCGGTGGAGAACGAATCGAAGCAGCTGGGTTCGCGGGCGGCGGGGATCTTGGATGCGGTGCGCAATGTGTGCATTGCGCGCGGGGCTCGGCTCGTCAAGACGTACATTCCGTGGAAGCTGTTGACTCTCCCTCCTACGCGGCAGTCGCGCTGGGGAGCGGCGGTGGACTTTACACCTCGCTTGGGGCCGACGCTGTTTCTGTCGACGAGCGGGATGAATCCGCGGGGGACGTTTGTGGCGCATCCGCACGATCCGGTGCTCTACTCGGTGGCGGTGGGGATCGAGCGCACGCGTGCCAATTTGACGGGCGTGTGCATGGCGGTTCAGACGCTCTCGTCGATCGCGCGCGACGAGGTGGAGGATGGGTGGGGCGAGCTGCGCATGCGCATCATGTGGGGGCTGCGCGACGATGCCGAAGCCAACGTGCGGCTGCGCGAGGCGCTCAATGCAGTCCACTGGGCAGGCCGCTGTTCTTGGCACATCCTCGGTGGGGTTGACGTGCTGGTGGATGGGGCGCACAATGCCGCGTCGGCACTCGCGCTGAGGGAGTACATTGATGCATGCCTCGCCGCACGTGCATTGTCTGCGCCAGCAGGCAAGGGCAAGGCAAAGACAGAAGCGCAGTTCGAGGTGACGTACGTGCTGGCGTTTAGCGAGGGCAAGGACTACGAGGCCATGGTGCGGGCACTGCTCGAGCAGCCATCGGACCGCGTCGAGCGCAACAATGTAGCCCTGACTACGTTCAGTCCGCCCGAGGGCATGCCGTGGGTGCGCAGCGTGGAACTCGACGACGCGCTTCGTACGCTCAAGAGCGTGGCGCGCACAGTGGACGTGGGCGAGATCCGCACCTTCCCCGCCATCGCAGGTGCGCTCGAGTGGGCCGAGGGCAAGAGCGCAGGCAAAGGCGCCGTTGTGGTGGCGGGCAGTCTGTACCTCGTGGCGGACATGTACAGGCTGCTGCAGCAGCGCGGATTGTACTCGCCCTAGACAATGCCAGACCAACTGCCGCTGTGGGATTGAACGCGTGATGAAGCGGCCAAATGAGTTGGGTGGCGAGCGACTGTGGCTTGGGGCTTTCATTTCGAGCGTGCCTGGCTGGCAATGGTTCTTGGCGACATGGCGATCTTGCTGGGGTTGAGGGCTGCTTTCTGTCCACCATCTTACTATCGCGATGATGCTGTTTTTCGTTCTGGCAGCGGTTTCGCTGGCGTTGGGGGTGTGGGGTGACGAGCACAACATCGTGATCCCCTTAGCCTTTGAGCCGGACTCGCAGCTCATGACCGCCACCCTTGCTGTCGGTTCGCCCGCCAACACGTACAACCTCGTCCTCGACACCGGTTCGCCGTTCGTCGTTGTACAGGACTCGGTGTTTCACCAGACGGCATCGACGAGCGATGCAGCGCAGCTCGAGATGGGCGATATGCAGGGCTACGTAACCACGACGCCCGGCGGTGGCGATGGGGCGCCCGTCAAGCCTACGATGCACTTTATCACCGACACGGCGTACCTCGTCCAAGGCAGTGGGGTTGAGGCTGGAGGAGGCGCTCTGGCGGGAAATATGACTCTGGCACTCGCCGGATTGCCACTCAAGGCCCAGGGGATCCTGGGTCTTTCGCCGCCGTTCAACAAGGTCCAGGGAAAGCCGGGCAAGGATGGCAAGAAGACGGTGATCCCCAGTGCGGATGTTTCGTTTCTGGGTTCCTACCTGTCGGACGATGGTCGGAAGCGACTGGGCATTACGGGTGCGTCTCACTTTTACACTGCTATGACACCGCCCACTGATTCGGCGGCAGCAAGTGGACAACTGGTGTTTCCTAAAGAGGGTACTACGGTCCCGGTCGTGAAGGGGTATGATGCGGGGGCAGCGATCAACATCGACCCGGGTACGGGCTCGACGTTTCCGGGGCATCCGTTCTGGGGCATTGCCCATCGCCATGATCTGCGGTTCGTCATCGACGACCAGGTGCTGGACAATGTTCGCATCGATGCACTTTTGCTCGACACGGGCACGGCGGGTGTGGTCGGTCCACCGAGCGAAGTGGCCAAGATCATCGACGCCACCCAGGGCCGTCTGAACCGCACATCGAGCGATCCCAAGCAGGTCGTAGCTGACGCCGCATGCGATCTTTCCATCAAGCTTGGCTTCGACATTGGCGGTATGCGAACGACGTTCACGGCGCTCCGTAGGCCCAGTAAGCCCAGTCCGGCTGCACAGTCGTTCATGAGCATGGCGATGGACCACGAGGATCAAGGTCAAAACGTCCAGGCGGTCCAGGCGATGAAGTCGTACCAAACCGCCGGAGTCAATGTGCACGCTGCAGGAGTTAGAGACTCCGTCAACGCCCTTACGGGAACGCTCTTTGCACCGCGCCTGGTCAAGTTGCACAAACGAAACCCCCTGCTGCTGTCAAATGCACACCTGACGGATGCAAAGGATGGCGGTCAGAGATGCACCCTTTCGCTCACAGGCAATCCTCAGGTCGACCAAATGTTCCCGCAAAACGGCCCCGACTTCAAAGTGTGGATCCTAGGCACCGAGTTCTTCCAGCAAAACCTCGTGTATCACAATATCGATTCCGCCGTCACCACCATCATCCCGCGCAAGTGAAACCGCGCACATTCGTCCTACGTTCGTTGTTGAAATTTCACCGTCTTTACATGCTGTTCGACGTGTGGGGAGGGATTTACGACATGTCTGCAACGCAGCGAATGCATTCGCCCTGCTTCATGTACTCGAAGCCCTTGTTGATGTTGTCGAGGTCGGTCTTGTGCGTAATGTAGTCGTCCACCTTGAAGGTACCCTTGAGGTACCTGTCTACGATACCGGGCAACTCGGTCCTGCCCTTGACACCGCCGAATGCGGAGCCCTGCCATCTGCGACCGGTGACGAGCTGGAAGGGACGCGTGGCGATCTCCTGCCCCGCAGCAGCGACACCAATCACCGTGCTGACGCCCCAGCCCTTGTGGCAGGCCTCGAGCGCGCTGCGCATCACCTTGACATTGCCCGTGCAGTCAAAGGTATAGTCGAGACCGCCATCGGTAATGTCGACGAGATGCGCCACAATGTCCTTGTCGAGCTTGGACGGGTTGACGAATTCGGTGGCGCCGAACTTCTTGGCCCACTCCTCCTTCTGGTCGTTGGTGTCGATGGCGATGATACGGCCTGCGCCTGCGTCGACAGCGCCCGTGATGACGGCCAGACCCACACAGCCCACACCGAACACGGCGACATTGGAGCCCTTTTCGACGTTGGCGGTGTGGGTAGCCGCACCCCAGCCCGTGGTCACGCCACATCCGAGCAGGCACGTCTTCTCGCGCGGCGCCTTGGGGTCGATGGCGACGAGCGAGTACTGCGACACCACGGTGTACTGCGAAAAGGTGGAGCAGCCCATAAAGTGGAAGAGCTCCTTGCCGTTGCACGAGAAGCGCTTTGTGCCGTCGGGCATGACGCCCTGACCCTGAGTGGCACGCACCGCCTGGCAGAGGTTGGTCTTGCCCGACTTGCAGAACTTGCACTCGCGGCACTCGGCGGTGTAGAGGAGGATGACCGAGTCGCCTTCTTTAACGTGGTCGACACCCTCGCCGACGGACTCGACGATGCCGGCGCCCTCGTGGCCGAGGATGGCGGGGAAGGCACCTTCGGGGTCGGAGCCCGAGAGCGTGTAGGCGTCGGTGTGGCAGAGGCCGGTGTGGGTGATCTGAACGCGCACCTCGCCCTTGCGCGGAGGCTGCACCTCGATCTGCTCGATCGACATGGGCTTGCCGGCTTCCCAGGCGACGGCGGCCTTGCACTTGATGGTCTCGCCCTTGGTCATTGTGTCGGAGATGGGTGTGCGGTGTTTTTGATTGCGTGGGGGGAAAGGAGGTGTGGTGGTGGTGGAAAGGAAGATGGATGACTGTGCAAAGGGGATGTCGTGTGTGACAGATGGACGGGGCAAATTGACGCAATTCCGCCAAAGTGGAGGTGAAAGGCGGCTTTGCTGGATTGCCTCGATTTCCGTCGCGTTGGTCCGTCCACCGTTGTGCCTTTTCGCACGGCTGCCTCGCCGCGTCTTCCCGAGCGCTTCCATCGGTGCATCGACGAAGATCGGGGGAGGTGGGGAGGCGCCGATGCCCGATGCGACAGCAACAGACGCGCGCCAGCAAGGTGTTGGTCTCGAGCCCGCTCTCCCTCGCTCCACTTTTTGGGAGAAAAACATGCAGCTGCTGCTGCGCATTATTCGGAGCGCAGCCGTGTTTCATAGCACGCTCGTCTTGCCCCTTTACTATCACACCGCTCGACGACGGCACATCCGATTCCAAACAGGCTCAGGCTCAGGCTCATTGAGCAGTGAGCTTAATCCTCCGCCGCCAAGATGGAGGCGATGCGCAGAAAGATCATCGAGGAGCAGCTGGCGGCCATCGAGCAGGCAAAGCGTCAGCAGAAGGAACGCCAACAGTCCACGGCATCCTCCTCTTCGGCCGCCAATCCGGCCGTCACATCGCTGCCCCACCGCAACAAGCACGCTCCTCCGCCCAAAGTCAAGCTCTTTCAGCCGCCACTCGTGCCGTACGTGCCGCCCAAGCAGTCGCAGTCGCAGTCGCAGTCGCAGTCCGCGGCAGCATTCGGCGGCGCTGGCTCAGGCGTCGGCTCTCGCACGGATCCCATCGTCTTTGGCGAGTCGTCACCCATCGGCGCTGCGTCACGATCCAATCCATTCCAGTCAGGTGCGGCTAAGGTGTCAACTTCCGCGTCGTCTTCATCTCGCGCTCCCGCTCCCGCATCCGCTCGCGCTCCGCAGTCCGCAACAACGTCGAGCTATGCCGCAGCACAGCCCTTCCGCTCTCCCAACTCCAAGTCTTCCTACGCTCCCTTCATCTCTCCCGGAAACACTCCACCACCACCACCACCACTCCGCAACAACGACCCTTTCTACCACTCGCCACTCGCCTCTCCCTCCGCATCACGAGCAAAACCGCTCCGTCAACCGTACGCATACGACGATCAGATGCAGTCAAGCCCGGTGCACACCATGTATCCGGACGACGCGGCCGTAGGGCCCACCATCGATGCGGCCACGCGCGAGAGGCAGATACGCGACCTCCTCTCCAACATGGTCAACGTCACCCAGGTCTCGGACGACGCAAAGACAGATGCACACGTACCGGGCCTCAAGTGCATGCTCCTCCCGCACCAGGTGCAGGGTGTTGCCTGGATGCGTGAGCGCGAAAAGGGCGCTGCCAAAGGTGGCATCCTCGCAGACGACATGGGTCTCGGAAAAACCGTACAGACGCTCGCGCTCATCGTCTCAAACCGCCCGGGCAACGACAAGGCCACCATCGATCTAGACGTACCCGCAGAACCTACAAAGCGCGGCAAGAAGGCTGCCGCACCCAAGAACGCAAGCCTAGACGACGCGCAAGACAAACTAGAGGATGCGGCGCGCAAAGAGATGCCCTCCAAGACTACGCTCATCATCGCACCGCTCGCCGTGATAAAGCAGTGGGAGCGCGAGGTCACCGAAAAGACAGACGCCGGCCTCAAGGTGTACCTCTACCATGGACCTTCGCGCACAAAGTCGGCTGCGCACTTCGCCAAGTTTGACATCGTCATCTCCACCTACACCACGGTGGCGAGCGAGTACAACACCTACATGGCTGCGCTCGAAGCACGTGCCAAGGGCATCCCCCTCACCAAGCCCGCTGCCAAGTCCAAGTCGCGCACCGATGCAAAAACCAAGCCACCACGCACTGCGGCCGATTCGGACGCCGACTCGAGCTCGGACGCGAGCGTGGTGGCCATCGACTCGGACGACACGGACGACTCATTCGCACGCGCCCCCGCCAAGCCCAGCAAGCCGGCCAAGAAGGCGGCGGCGGCGCCGCTGTTCGACTTTTCCTGGCTGCGCATCGTGCTGGACGAGGCGCAGAACATCAAGAATCACAAGGCCAAGTGCTCGCGCGCGTGCTTCATGCTCGCCGGCCGAGCCGTGTCGCGCTGGTGCCTCACGGGCACGCCGCTGCAGAACGATGCCTACGAGATGTTTAGCCTGATCCACTTTCTGCGCGTGCCGCCCTTTGACGACTATGCGCACTTTCGCGAAAAGATCGGCGAGCCGCTCAAGTCGGCCAACCAGAACCGCGTCAACTGGGGCATGAAGCGCCTCTGCTTTGTGCTCCAGACCATCATGCTCCGCCGCACCAAGGACGCCAAGGCCCAAGACGGCTCGCCCATCCTCACGCTGCCCAAGCGCACGCTCCAACTCATCGAGCTCGACTTCGACAGCGATGCAGAGAGGCAGTTCTACGTAGGGCTGCAGGAGAGGATCCGCAAGGCGTTCGAGGCCGAGAACGGCGCGCAGGGCAAGACGAATATGATCGCATCGCTCGTGCTGCTGCTCAGGCTCAGGCAGGCGTGCAACCACCCGGCCATGGTCACGGGCAATCTGCGCACAGATGCAGGCGCCATCGGGTCTGCGGCCGAGCCTGCGCCGGGCAAGCCCGCACAAAGCACGATGGAGGCGGAGGAGGACGACGATGACGGGCTGGCCGCGATGCTGTCCGGCCTGAGCGTGGCGGTGAAGCGGTGTGAGCAGTGCCAGGTGGACCTGCCGCCGGGTGCCACACCCTCGACCGTCGACGCTGCACGCCGGCTGCTGTGTGCAGAGTGTACGCAACTCGCAGCGTCGCACTCGCACGACCTCTTTGCGGCCTCGACGGGCTCGACCAAGATCCGCAAGATGCTATCTCTGCTCACCTCCATCCGCACCTCGGACCCACGCGAAAAGACGATCGTCTTTTCGCAGTTCACCTCGTTCCTCGACCTGGTCGAGCCGCACCTGTCGCAGCGCGGGTTTGGCTATGTGCGGTACGACGGTTCCATGCGACCGCCCGAGCGCGAGGCAGCTCTGGAGCGCATCCGCTCGGACGCGACGACCACGGTGATCCTCATCTCGTTCAAGGCGGGCAGTACGGGGCTGAACCTGACGGCGTGCAGCCGGGTGATCCTGATGGACTTGTGGTGGAATCCGCAGATCGAAGAGCAGGCGTTCGACCGCGCCCACCGTCTGGGGCAGGTGCGCGACGTGACCATCTACAAGCTCAGCATCAAGGATACGGTCGAGGAGCGCATCCTCAAGCTGCAGGACAAGAAGCGCGCGCTCGCTAAGGCCGCGCTCGAGGGCAGCAAGCTCGTCAAGGGCAATCGGCTCGATTTCAAGGAGATCTGGTTCTTGTTCAACGGCAACGACTAGCGTCGCCCACAACGCAACTTGCAGAAAACTATTCAACAAAACGAGAGTGAGGCAAGGAAACAAAGGCAGTGTGTGTGGGGAGTGTTTAGGGACGGCGGAGGGCGACGGCTTCGGAGAAGGGTTTGAAGACGTCAAAGTGGTCGAGGGGTACGTCGAGGGGGTTGGTGATTTTGAAGGCGGGTTTGGTGTGGAAGTGGGGATACCAAAAGTCGTCGTAGGTGGCATACTCCGTACCCAGCATTTGCTGTACCGTCTTCTTTCCCTTCCTCTGAAGTCTAGCTAGGGCCTCTGGGGGAGTATGAGCCAGATTGGCATGCAACTTCTCCGCCAGACTATTTTCGAACGCAATGGTGCTTTCCTTGTTGCCCAGCATTTGGCCGACATACTGAACCGGATGGAGGACCTTTCTGAACCCGCGGCCGATTTTGCCGTACTCGCCCTGTTCATGTGCATCGAACACAGCTGTCGAGTGTGAGGTCAGGGCGGGTGGGACGTTGGCGGCAAGTTCACGGAAGGCTTTGATGCTTCGATGCTGGGGTGTGAACTCTTCTTCGAGGAGGGGGGCTGGGTCGTTTGGGTTGTGGAGGAACTCGGGCCCGGTGGGGATGTTGCTCCCCGTAACGCCGCCGTTAACAGTGGGAACTCGTGCAGCACGGGTGTTGTCGACACGATTGCGCGAAGACCAAGCCATTGCATCGTCCCATTGGTGGAAGTAGTCGAGTTTGTCCAGCTCGGCACGTGCGCGGTTCCAGTGACTCCACTGCTTCGGCCAACGATCTTGCATCCCATTCAGCTGTTTGATCTTGATCTTCCTCAGTGCGGCTTTGGCATCCCACGGTCTGAAAGGCACCGCGGGCGGAGCTTGTGCCCTGGCAGACCCGGGAGGCGTCGATGCAACAGTACTAGTCCCCCGCGATGAGTCGGAGTCGACAAGTCGAGTCTTGATGCTCTTCAGCCAGCGGAAGGAACCGAGTCGCGGAGAGGTATCTTTCGAGGCGGCTGCCGAGGTCTTTTGCGAGCTGATGAACGGTCCACTGACGTCCGAGGGTGTTACGATCGATGAGGCGTGCGATCGCATCGAAGACGCCTGACTGTCGACAAAGTCAACCTTTCGCGAAGACTTTGCGGGACGTGTGGAGATACGGTGCAGACGAGAAGCGACATCTTCGAGCGCCATACGAGTGGGACTATCCGGTCGCTTGGGCATTGTTTGCGGCGGGTCTTCCACAAGCGATGGACGCGAAGCCAACTCCGCCTCCGCTACAGGCGGCGGAGGGTTCCAGCCTACTTTGCCCTCGTTGAAGCGACCGGGTCGACGAGTCGTAGCCCTCGCACTGCCCGACGAAGAACGCAACAGCTCCGCATCCCGCCGACCGCTGTCACTCCACTGTCCCGACTTGGGCCCCAGATCAGATGGTCCACCAGTCGAAGCTCCATCAACACCCGAAGTAGAAGCCCCTCCCCCACCAGCCGGGTTGGAGGGTTGGGTGCCGCCAGCACGGAATGTGAATGGCTGCGGATTTTCGGCTGTCGGTAGGAAGCGTGCGCGATTGATACGTGCATCGCGATCCGACGAGTCCGCAGTGCGGAACGATGTATCGCCCGAACTCGCGGCCAGCGCAAGCCCCAGCAGAGGCAGAACCAACAAAACGCCAACTCGCATCGTCGTAGGTGGTGGTACGAAAGCAAACCCTCCCAGACGCTCAAGACGACTCTATCAGGCACGCTTAATGAGGGGAGAACAAGCGATCATCGCTTCATTCGAGCAAGAATGGGAAAAGGAGGAGGCGAGATGAAGCCTGTGGTGGGATAAAAACTTTTGTGTAGGCGCTGCTTGTCGACACGGCTCAGCAGTGCGGTTTTGGCTGCTGCGTTTCCAAGTGGGTGCTACACATCTTCATCGGTACAGTGCGGCGTCGTAGAGCAGAGCTGCACGGTCACCTGTGAGGTGCTTAGCCCAGCTGATGGCGCGCCGCCCACATGATCTTCCTGCATGTGCATCGTCGTTGATATCGAGGAGCGTTGGTGGGTTCTTCGAAAACCCCCCTTGATTTCTTTTATCTTTTAATCAATTGAATTTTTTGGAAGGAAGTGGGGTTGCGCATTGACCACCACCATCTTTCCACCATGGAAGCCAGCTTGACGCACGCCACGAGCCTACATCCTACGCTTTCCCTCTCCATCGCACCGTCACTGCTGGCAGCGGCAACTCACTGTCGCCCGAGCGTGCTAGTGCATCTACCGGCAGGGGTGTTCTTCGACCCTTTTACAGCTAGCCATGCTCTGGCGCGGAAACAAGACTCGAAGATCAATTTTGTCCACCTCGCAAGCAGTGTAGAGTTGGAACATGCGGTAGGCTCGAGGGAGAGAGAGGTGGAGACGGTGGTTGTGGAGGTCGATGCGTGGAGAAACGATGGAGTGAGCGTCGATATCCCCCTCCATACGAGGTACCAATTTCCAGCAAAAGGCCAAGCACAGCCAGGATGGACAAGGATCGCCAGCGAGCTGGTGCCATTCTCGGCACCGGAATCAGCAAAAGAGGAGCAAGACTATGTCGAGGTGCGGATCCAACAGCCCAAGCTTGTTCTGACTTGCAAGGATGAGGCTCGCTATGTAGAGGGATTCTACGCTACTGGGCTGGACTCGCTCTTCCCCGCTTCGCACAAACATCTGGCACGACAAAATACCAAAGTCCTCACACCATCCCAATCACCAAAGCAAGCCCTCAAAATCAACGTTCCGGTTCCAAACGCTGCTCTGCTCGCACCAATAAAGGCCATCACCATGGCAACCGTACTCGCAGCTGCATTCGTCGTGCTAGCCCATCTGGCGTTCAACGTCTTGCCGCTCATCCAGCACGCAGAATCCTCACTGTAATCTCACCGCCCATGCCGCGCAAAAGATCAAGCTTGTGAGTGTGGTGTGCGTGGCATTCATTGCGCTGTCTCGGAGCGCGCATCGTGCTCAACCGCCTCCACCGGCTCAATTGCAGCAGCTGGCGCCTGCTGCTCCACCGCTGCATCTACGCGCGCCGCCGCTTCGGCCTGTACCGGCTTGGGCTGGGCCAGCTTCTGCGCGCGCAGCTTGGCCTCCTCCTTGCGCCGCTTGTGCGCGGCCATTTCGCGCTCGACGTCGCGCTCGGTCTGTTGGTCTTCCTGCTCTTGCCGCTCCGCTTCCTGCTGGGCGGTCTGGGCCTCGATCTCCTCGAACCGCCCCGACTCGTGCGCAGCGGCCATCGGATGCCGCACCTGCACCACACCCGTCTTGTTGAGCCGGTCGAACAGCACGAATAGCCGCTCGGCCTCGGCCTCCTTCTCGGCATCCGTCATGCGGTCGATCTCGTCCAGCGCACGCTCCTCCTCCGTAGGCTCGTACTCGCCCGTAATCGGATCCACTGTACGACCGTTGGCGCCCGTTGGCGCTACTCCCGAGGGCAGCGCAGAGGCCAGGCCCGTGTTCATGAGGAATCCTGCACACGGACCGTAGCCGATCGTCTCGGTCATGCGCTTGGCATCGGCGTCGCACAGCGACAGCAGCAGCTCGCCTGCAGCCCGTGCGGAGCGTGGCAGCGTCACCGAGGACATGAGCCGCACCAGCCGACCCAACACGTCCGACCGTCGATCCAGCGCTACGCTTCGATCCAGGTCGGATGGCAGCAGGATGGAGCACAGCGTGGCGCGCATGTCGGCGTCTTCGGATGACGTCTTGCGCAGAAGGAGCAGCAGCGGCTCCAGCGTGTCCTCGAGCTCGATCCCGTCGCTGCTCGCTTTTTGCTGCACACTCTTGGCATCCGCGTCTTCGGGAACACGTCGTCCGTCGTCCGCCGCCGAGCTCGCACCGCCAAAGTAGCGCGCCAGCATGAGATCGGCAAACATGATGAGCCGCGAGATGTACTTTGGCGCCGTATTGAGCGCCGCACTCGACGTGGGCGAGATGGGAGCAGTCAAAGCAGCCTTGTTAGCTGCGCCGCTGTTGTTGGAACCTGACTTTGGCTTTGCGCTGGTGATCTGGCTCTTGACGTGTGTGACCGGGTAGTTGAGCAGTGCGGCAATCGCATGTGTGAAGGGAGGCATGAGCGGCACCGGCGAGGGTAGTGGAAGAGTCGTGAGCACCGAGATGAGTGGCGGAAGCATCTCGAGCAGTTCCGAGTGGAAGGCTTCGCCGACGATGGCTGTCGCCTCTGCTGCCTTGGTCGGCTCGCTCGATTGTGTATCTGCTTCTTCCGCCTGCTGCTGCTTGGCCTCGGCATCCGCTAGGCGCGGATAGTAGAGGCAGATGTTGAAGTGAGCCTTGAGCAGGTCTGAAAGGGCGGTATTGAGCTGCGCTGGAGCGCCGCTGGCGACGAGAACAGAAGATGCAGCATTGCGGTCGGCTGCCTTGTCGAGGGAGGCCTTGACGAGCGCGTCGACACAGCGGGCCTCGACGCGGACGGCATTGAGGGTGGCGACGGCGATCTTGTTGAAGGGCGACTCGAATAAGGTGCTGAAGAAGAGCAGGCGCGCGCCGAGGAAGAGAATATCGGCGGGCGTGTCCTCGGGGCGGGCAAGGAGGGCAACGGCGACGTGCCCACCGCCGACGTCTTCGGTGGAAAAGGGGAGTCTTGCATCCTCGTTGAGGAAGAGTGCGTTGTTGAGACAGCGCAGGGCCATGTCTGTGATTGGCCAATCCGGATCGTCACTCATGTCGTACTCTTCTGTGGTGCTGTCTGACGAGGGTGACGTGTCCTTGTCCTTGGCATTCCGTTCCGACTGTTGGGACCCGCGCCGGCTGACGGCCCGACGCAGCGTCTTGGCGATCGAGCCTAACGAGTAGCCGGAGGCGGAGGCGCTCGAGGTGGAAGCAACCGGAACAGAATTGGCGCTGGTGGCATCAGCTGCGACGTTCTGGCTGGAGATGCCGCTGAGCCCGGCAGGCTTTGAGGCGGAAGAGGAAAGGCGGCGAACGCGCTGCTTGGGAAAGTCGACCTGCTGGAGGAGGATGCGCAGCGCCTCTGGTTTGCCAAGCGGAGCACTTCCTCCGGGAAGTCGACTAAGCTCCTTGAGCACCTTGAGCGCCGACAGACGAGTGTTGGCATTCCAGCGCACGTCGGATCGGATGTTGAGGAGGTAGTCGCCCTCGCGCTTGCCTGATGCGGCGCCAATGTCGTTGAGGATGGCGGTGGTGAGCTTGGAGCGTATGGAGTCGCTGACGGAGCCGAGCGCCGAGATTCCACCGGAAGCGAGTGCATCGAGCCACTGCTGGGCCTGGGCGGGAGAGTCGACGCGCGCCGAGGAAGGGAGCGAGAGATAGTCGCGTATGGTGTTGGCCGACATGTTGGTAGCCAGTCTCGATCCGACGACGCCGAGCTCAGCACTTTGCCATGTCAAGTGGCTTTGGGGAGGAGAGAGGATGATAGAGAGGAGAAAGGGATCGACGGCCGTCGGCAGGGACCCGACCAGCGCCGGTCAATCCGCGGGGACAACCGAGCTCTTAGCGCGAAGCGAAAAGCACACTCTCAGTCACTCACYCACGCAACACTCACGCCCTCTCTTCTCTACTGCTTCGGATCTTTGTCACGGAGTGCCATCGGCCGACTACCGTATTTGCGCAAGGATCCGTTGCAATGAAGGGCTTGTCTGCTGGTCATCCCCTGCGGAATCACATCCAACGGGCGAGCAAAGCAGAGTGACACGCATGCCGTGCATATGCATGACCAGCGCATTCGAGCCCAGCCAGCAAGCAAAGGTCGACGTCAGCTTGAATTGGATTTCACCGCCCACCGCCCACCGCCCACCGCCCACGCTCACCCTCAAGCTCACGCTCCCACGCACACGCCCCCAGCGCGACGCAGCTAAGTTGACGGCACTTTCGGAAATTGGCCGACAGAACCATTTTTGTCGGGGCGATCCTGCGATGGCCCGTCGATCTCAGCTGCGAAGAAGCGCATCTTGACCGCATGAATTGCCGCTCGACGTCAGCTCAGCCGCGACATTCTATACGCTGCATCGAGTCTCGCCCTCGTCGTGGCAACCATTCTCGTTCTCGTATCTGTTTTGCATATGCAGAACAGGGTGGGGATGGACGAGCATGCCGTCTCGCCCCGGCCAGGTTTCAGTGCCTCGGGCAAAGCACGAGCTCCTTGCCACGTTGGCTGCGGACCATTCAGCTCGGACCTCCGAAGTGTCATGGCTGTATGGCGACAGAACCGAGCAAAGGCTGGCAATGATGCGCAAGCTTACCTCAAAGCCAAAGCCGTTGAGAGGGCTGACCGCTCTCTGTTGGAGGGGCTGAATGGGATGCCCGATCGATGCGAGAAGGGACGCGTCCTCTCCCCTGTCCCCCGTTTCGCCCAACGCTCGCCCCCGAACAACACGCTCCCACGCGCCAACCTCCACTTCTTTCGCGGCGCAGCTGCAGCAGACCAACACCAACAAACACACCCACTCACAGACACCCACTTTGCACTTCTATGCGTGGTCACTCTGAAACGTAAACTTCGGTACTTCCGCTACCTTCTCAATCGTAGGATGAGCAGAGGAGGCCCAGCTTGTAGCGCTGTGTTGATGCTGGTCATACTCTATGACGTCGGTGAAGCATGGCTTTCGAGGGCGTGGCGTAGCGTTGGGCAGGCCCAAAAATCTCGCTGGCCGTGGCTTTCCAACTTGAGCGGGCGCGTCTGGCAGCTGAAAAAAAAAACGGTCCTCGGGAGCCCCGAGCGCAGGGTTCACTTCAGGGGTCCGGCGCGAGCCAGCCGAGCGCGGCAGGATGCCAGTCACTCGGGCTCAGCTGCACGCCGAGAAGGATTCGGCAGCGGCAGAGTCAAGCATAAACAGGCAGCTTGCTCCACCAACACCTGCTGCAGTGAGTCCGGTGCCGATCATGGCTCAACTCAGCTTTCCCACTTTGTGATCCACCACCACACGTCCTTTCCCGCCCAGTGTGCTCAACGCGGCTTGCCATCGTCGGCAACACCGACCTGCGGCCATAACGCAGCTGCAACAAGCCCCATCGGACCACCCGACGACGACAGTGTTGCGTTCCCAATCCGTTCGGAGCTGTCCCGAAGCGTGCAGAGACTGCTCGCTCGTGACCTCAGATCAGTCCCTCGCCTAGCCCAGCGCTGAGCGATGCGCTTTGCCTCACGACCTATTATGCCTTGTTCCTGACCCATCCGCTCTAGCCTCAACCACATCGGACTACAATGATCACTCAACCATCTCGCGCTGGTCCCTCGGCTTCCAGCCCCAACAGCCCCAACAGCCGCAACGCAGCACCGCCTCAGCAAAGGTCGCCCATCACTCCGGGCCGCTACCGCGCACATGCTTCAGTCCACCAGGCCTTTCCATCGCCCTCCTCTCCACGCTCGCGTCGCTCATCCGTCGTCGAGACCGTCGATGGCGCTTCGTCATCCAACAGCCCTGCCTCCAACTGGCAGGCGAGCATCGAGCTCTCCTTGACTACACGTCGTCGCCTCATCCGCAAGCCGCTCCCGCAGATCCCCTCATCTCACAATGCCGACTCGATCCATTCGCCCGATGCAGCCTCCGGCCTCATCTCTTCGGCGACCCTCGATGCACAGTGCCAAAGGGCAGATTCATGGTGGCCCGACTCTCTGCCACAAAAGCACTCGGCCCCGCTCTCTTCCAGTCCACATGCTGCCAACACCAGTGCGCAACCCAACACACCCGCTGTCGATCCACAGCAATCTGACGATCCGGGTCTCGATGATCAAAGCCTCCAACACCTCCTGAGCATCCTGCATTACGCCGCGCTTCAATCCGAGGACGCCTCAGCAGCCACCCAGGAAGATGGCACTATCGGCAGAAACAACGTGGTGGTGTCAGCGAACGGTACCTACAAGAGGCAGTCTCATCTCGCCGGCACATCGGCTTCCGCAT